TTCTTCATTAGAACATTGCATATTGAGTCATGGGAACCGTATCCAAACTATAATCTTACAAGTGACAACCTCCACTTAAATAAAGTTCAAATACCATGATTGAATCATTAGGTAATGTTTGGAGATAATCCGTGACCCTCCGATCAACATGTCATCATAATCTTGTTCCGTAGTGAGTTGGGTAAAAAAAAAAAGTCGTTCTTAAAGTTTATGAGTTGCATGACTCCCGATATCAACTACAATGGTTTCACTTTTTATTCTAGATATAAAAAACTAATTCGTACACCAAGTAGTTTGATAACGAGAGCCCGTTCCCATAGTTTCCAGAGATGTGTTTGATCGGTACTAAGTTGGGGAGATGATAAACAGTTGGAGGATGTGTGCGTGGGATTTTGGTGTGACCATGTAGCACAAATGGGGTTCCTCCATAATGGTGCTCCCTTTGTTTTCTCCATTTGAATATATAATGCCTGTTAATATTACAGCTTGGAGGAAGACTAGATCTCCCATGGTGGAGGAATCCACCATTAAACAAACCCCACAAGCAATAGTTTATGTTCTTGAACAATAATTTAATTTGTTAATTTGCATGTTGTCCTACTTCTACTTCTACTATACATTAATTTGGTTCTACCAAACAAAAATTCAATTATTAGAGTCAATTTACCATAGAAAGAGATGGTTACTATTTAATTCAAGCTTCTTCATTTTCTTCTTTTTTAAAAGTATATTTTCAAATAATTTAAATTAAATGATTAATTTAATAATCACTCTTCTTTTCTTTTTTTGGGGTTTAAATTGAATATATATATATATATATACACACACACACACACACTAAATAGCAACTTTCTAATCAAGGTAGGGTTAGTAATTTTGTTTGGGATTAAGAAATCTCTTTTTTTTTTTTTTGGGAAACCTTTTTCTTTATAACTTGTTTCCTTTGTTTTATAGTTTTTGGTTCTTGTTCTTAGGTAAATGTAGACATATATATATATACACACATATATATATATACACATAAATATAAACTTATATAGAAACTTCAAAATTTCCATTTATTCTCTTTTTCAACTACTTTTCTTGAGACCATTCTTTTTCTATTATTAGTTGATACTATATGTGTATTTTATTTATTTTTTTATTTATAATATGTTCTTAATTTTTATTCATTAATTTTACATCTTATCTCCAAAAATTTTAGGCCATATTTTAAGAAATTGATTGATTTTTTAAATTACCATATTTAATTGTTTTTGGTAGTTAAAATTAAATATATATTAAGTTATATATATATATATATATATATAATATACTTTTAAATTGATTTATATTTTATCATTTTTTTAAAAAATGGATATTTCTATTTTATCCTTGATTTAGTATAAGTTATATATATATATATATATGAGTTTCATTTTTTGGGACCACTAATTCTAAACATTAGTAAAAAAGAAAATTTTATTTATTTATTTATTTTTTTGGGGTAGAATAGTCTTCATGTGCATGTCCAGAAAAATGCAATATTTAATTTATTATATTAAAAAATAATTTCCATATTTATATTTCAAAAAAAAAGAAAAAGAAAAATGAATTAACAGAAGCTGCCTTTGAGGTCTTCCTTCTGTAGTTTTTTAATCATGGGTCTTCCTTGATTTAAGGAGTTTGAAGTTGAAGTTTGAGTTTAGCTAATCATATATATATATATATATGTATATATATGTATATATTTGTGAAAATAAGATTATGTGTAATTTATATTTTTAATAGTATAAGAAATTTTATACATGAACAGTTTATGTATATCTTAATAATATAAGTCTAAAAATATTTTTATTATTGTGACTTATATTTTATATTATCAGTTTTTCCCAATGTAAAGTTTGGGTTTGTTGTATTATGCATAAATTTTCTACCTTTCATAATGCAAAAAGAATAATATATATATATATATATACAGAGAGAGAGAGAGAGAGAGAGTTTTTTATATAAAAAGTTTACCAAATCCTCATATTATATACATCAAGTTCTCTTTTTTTTTTTTCTTGTATTATGCATAAATTTTCTACCTTTATATGCATGTGTTTTTTTTCAGCAGCTCAAAGCTTTGAAAGTTTTGGGTTTGTTGTATTATGCATAAGTTTTCTACTTTTTATATTGAATATATATATATATATATAGTTTTTTTTTATATAAAGAGATACCAAATCTTCATATTATATACATCAAGTTCTCTTTTTTTTTTCTTGGATTATGCATAAATTTTCTAACTTTATATGCATATGTTTTTTTTCAGCAGCTCAAAGTTTTGAAAGTTTTGGGTTTGTTGTATTATGCATAAAGTTTCTACCTTTCATAATGAAAAAAGAATATATACATATATACATAGAGAGAGAGTGAGAGAGTTTTTAATATAAAAAGTTTACCAAATCCTCATATTATATATATCAAGTTTTTTTTTTTTTTTCTTTGTTTCTCTTAAAAAAAATCAACCAACCAAGGACGTGATTGCATAATGGAGATATTTTACGCGTATTTAATGCAAAAAACCCACTTGGCTATTCCTCTTTTAATCAATCCATCTCATTTAACTGGCCATCTCTTTCTTGCACCACTGTAATTAATGTTCTAATCAATTCAATGCATTGACTTTGTATTCCCCGACCTGTTAAACCTTTCCTGTATATCCAACCATTTTCTACCCTACAAACAAAGCAGATAACTGGAAAACACTAGAGAACAAAAAGGCTGAAAATGGTCTTTCTTGATTTCTTCAAGCAAACAACAAAGCTTTTGTTTTCCATTTCCAAAAACTCTTGTCCTTTCTTTGACCTGCTTTTTCTGTAATTTCTTCTCAATCATCGTATCTGAAAGCAGGAGACTTTGTTGGGTTTTCATCAAATGACTTTCTCCTAAGTTCATCAGACTGAAAGTAGAGAGCTTGTTGGAAAGTTGTAAGCATTCAAGTTTATGTGTTATTTGGGGAAATGGGTTGCTCACTTTTGCCCTTCTTGCTGCCTCTTTTAATTCAAATTTCAGTTGTAGCAGCTTTTACCAATGCTGGGGATTGTGAGTTTCTTGCTACTCTTTCCTTATAATCTTGTTTTGCTCAATTGATTTCTGGTATTTAATTCTTGCTTTAGACTTCACCAATCTATTTTTGTTTTTAGCTTTCTTGATTCATACATGTTTGGTAATTTTGTCAGTTCTGTTTTTTCAGTTTCTGAATGTGGGTTTGAGTAGAAATTGGTTCAGGTTTTACCAACCAAGTTTTGTTGTTTTGCCTTGAGGATAAAGATTATGTTAACAACATGAAGCTGCTATAACTAGTCCAAGTATTCTTTCAGTTTGTAATATGTGACTAATGTTTAAAGTCTCTTGTCATATTATCAAAGACATAAACAACTAACCAAGGGGATTAGGTGCTTTGATCCTCTTCTAATTCAGGAAAGACATAATATTTTTCACTAAGAGGGAGATGAAGAAGGGCTACTGGTTGATTGGGAAAGCAAAGTTGAAAGATGATGTGTACAAAAGAAGAGAGAAAGAGCAGTGTCAATGGAAGAAGAGGAGAGAAGATGGGGCTGCTATAGAGAGGGAGCAAAGGGGATCTAGTTCTTTTTTTTGAAGATGGTGAAAACTGATCAAGGCAAAGAATATTGTTGGCCAAAAGCTCCTGTCCTGATTGTTTTTCATTATGGGCATTCCTGTCATAGTTCTTTTCATTTTGAGTTTTCTTTCTTATGTACGAAAAAAATCCTAGTTTTAAAAGAAAGAACTGGATATGGCTTCTTCGAAATAGGAACATTGTTGAACCATCAAGATTTGCTCTATTCACTTTTACTTTAATAGATATGAGTTTTTTGTTTTGTGAGTATATCGATCAGAACCTCTGTCTTGAACCTTCGTACTTTTCAGTTTTTATGAATTCCTACTTTGTTTTGGTTAATCCTGTACCAGTTTTGTTCGAGTTTGGGTAAAGTAACTGACTCATGGCAACTATTCTGCTGCAGATGCTGCACTGCTAGCTCTCAAGGATGTATGGGAGAATGAACCGCCAAATTGGGTTGGTTCAGATCCTTGTAGTGATAGTTGGGAAGGAATTACGTGTACAGATTCCCGCGTGACATCCATGTATGTTCTTAGAGATTCGTTTGTTAAACCCTTTTAATTCTTATTCATGGTTGCTTCTTGCAATTTTTTTCTGGATAAATGAATGTTGATCTTTTGCAGATCGTTAGCAAGCGTGAATTTGGAAGGTGAGCTAACTGCAGATATTGCATCCTTATCTGAATTACAGATCTTGTAAGTATTCTGCAAGAATTTTGCATCTTTTATCGTACATATAAGTCATTTCTTAATTATGATTTTTGAACAAGTTCAACCTTTACCTTCATCTTTGCTTATTCCTGCCGTCCTCTTTTTATTTAGTTTTATAAACTTTGTGTACTTGATGTACCTCTGGGATAAACTGCAGGGCTCAAATGTCTTCGAGTTCATTGCTGAAAAAATGTGTTGATAAATTCTGCATTCTGCAACTAATTAAAATCAGTTTATTAAGTTTTGATGCATCATTTAGCAATAACTTTCACAATTTTGCTTGTTAAACAGTAGAAGATTGATACTTATTTTTATGAGCTTCTGCCTACAGGGATCTTTCCAACAACAAAGGCTTGTATGGACCTCTTCCACAAAAAATTGGAAATTTGAAGCAGCTAACGAATTTGTAAGCACATTTTACTTTAAACTGATGTGTAGCTCACAGGTGGCGTGTCTTATAAAATCCTCTTCGACATGTTTTCTTTTCTTTGGATATCAGACAACTGATTAGTTGCAGCTTCTCTGGTCCTATTCCAGACACAATAGGATCTCTGCCGATGCTGGTAACCCTGTAAGTTTCACTAACAGTAGCTTTACTATCACTAGCTTGGATTTACTAAAACTAATTTTGGTCAACATGGTCGAAATTCTTTAAGGATTTTGATCCCCGTCCATGTTTTGTATGGCATACATTGGCGAAGACTAATATTTGTTGTATCTGTATGTTCTGTTGACTCATTGTATGTTTACAGGCTTTTAAATCATATATTATTTGGCCTCATTGTAGGTTTTGCATTCTCAAATCTTTTACATATTTGAGCAAACCATCTCTGTTTCTATGCAACTGGCTAAACTCTTAGATGCTTCTGCCTGCAGATCTCTAAATTCTAATAGCTTCACTGGACGGATTCCACCTTCCATTGGTAATCTGTCAACTCTTTTTTGGCTGGATCTGGCTGACAATCAGCTTGAAGGTCCTCTTCCAGTTTCTGATGGAACTAATCCTGGGCTTGACAAGCTACTCCATACAAAGCATTTGTATGTTGAATCTTTTGTAGTATTTTTTAGCCTTCAAGTTCATTTTCTTTATGTTGCTTGTACATTATGAATAATCAATAACATTCTTCTAAAAGTAATAAGATTTTTGACCACTGTCTACAGTCACCTTGGACAGAATAAGTTCTCGGGGCCTATCCCTGATCAACTTTTCAGCTCGAACATGGTTCTGATACATTTGTAAGTTTCCTTCACTTCGAAATGACGTAGACATTTTAGTTTCTGTTGTTTGGATCAGAAATGTGCCAACATCAAGAAATATGTGGTTGTAGATAACTTGTGCATATCTATAGTAAGTTATGCAATTCTTGTGTATTTGAGAATCTCGCACCATGCAAATCTTGATCCGGTAACCTTTCTGCTTTGTTTCTCATCCTATTTCCCTCTATCTGGAGCCAGGCTGCTTGATGGAAACCAACTCACTGGCAATGTCCCTGAAAGCCTTGGACATGTGCAGTCTCTGGAGGTGGTGTGAGTATCTAAAGCACCTTAAGATTTTTATAGGAAGAGAATATCTGATAGCTTATCTTATATAACACTTTCTTGTCTTATTTGCAGACGGCTTGATAGGAATTCACTAAATGGAACTGTTCCTTCAAATCTCAATAATCTTGCATCTGTCCGTGAGTTGTAAGCAGACATACTATAGATACTACAAACAATCCTTTTGCAGTTTTTATAGGCAACTGTTCACTGTCCTGCATGAACGATTTGATCTAAAATTTAAGAATGCTTTTATTTTCCTTCTTCAGGTATTTGTCCAACAATGAATTCACAGGCCCTCTCCCTAATCTAACTAGCTTGGATGCCCTCCTCACATTGTATGTAATAAAATGTCATTGGACTCTACTTTGTATTTGGTCATCAGTAACATTTTTGTTAACTGATTATTGAATTTATACTTTGACCCTTGTCTTCTTTTTATCACCAAATCAAGTTCTGTTCATTATAGTAACTGGTTCTCTTCTTCATTGCATAGAACTATACTGCTATATAGTTCTCACTCGAAGCATATTCTGATCTGTAGGGACTTGAGCAACAATAGTTTTGATGTCTCAACTTTTCCTTCCTGGATTCCTCAATCACAGGCCTTAGTAACAGTGTAAGTTTCTCTGTAAAGTTGCAGTTTCCTGACTTTCCGTGAACACCAGCATTCAAAACATGTGTCTTCGCATGCATACCCATTTAGAGACGTGCATATGCTCAAGCATTATGTGAATCACTTTCCCTTAAGAGCTAAAAGTTACAATTTTTTCATAATAATGATCTGGAATGGGACGATTGATATGGTGGATATAGTCTGAAATCTTTACAACCATTTCTATAATGCTCTAGAAGCAGAATACTTGACTTGCTATTCTAATTTATTGCAGAAGGATGGAAGGTCTTAAACTTGAAGGTCCTGTTCCTGTCATGCTCTTTGCTCTTCCCAATTTACAGACTGTGTTAGTGTCTGCTTAACCTCCTATCTTGTCATATGTATATGTATATTTATTGTAATGAATGTTTAAATTGCAAACAAAACATTCTACTTGATTCCTTGGATTTGCGGAATGGCTTGGTAGTACATCTTTAGATCTACTATGACATTGTAGGCTGCTTCTTTTGAACTCTTCTGAACTGTGACAGGACATTAAAGAGAAACAAGCTAAATGGCACCTTAGATGTTGGCAACTCCTTCAGCAACCAGCTGGAACTCATAGATCTTGAGGATAATTCCATAACTGACTACAACGGACCAACAGGAGGCAATTTTGACGTAATGTAAGTTTAATTTCCAAGATTTTTCCGCCTAAACAGTTGTTCTGTCTTTTGCATTGCTAATTTACTATGCTAGACTGCATGCTTCTGTAGACTGCTAGGAGATGTACTCCATATGAACTACTAGCTCCTAAATATTTATCTTCTTATATTGCTTCACTGGAGATCCTTGTATATTTCTTTCTGCAGACTTGTTAATAACCCAATTTGCGGGGAGACAGGAATTTCAGAAAGTTACTGCAAATTTCCCACGTCGGATGCCCCATACTCCACTCCTCCAGTCAACTGTATACCCATTCCATGCAGTGACATAAGATTGCCAGCCCCACATGCAAATGTGCATTCCCCTTCACAGGGATTCTATTCTTCA